GCTAAACCGACAACCCCCTTTTCCCCCCCCCCCCCCCACTTACCTCAGTTATGGGGTTCTTCTTCCCACAGGCTGGTGCTTTTTTTTTAAATAATGAGGCTTCACATGGCTTCACCCACAGCCAGATCGTGCATTTGCAGATCCTTTGACAGGATCCGTGAATGGAGAAGCTACTGCATGTCCCATCAACCATCATGGCAGAGGGACTTGTAGTTCTAAATGGAATACAAGTGTGGTGATGTCACTGAACTTGTAGTCCATTCGGCCTGCCTCCCTGCAGGAGCCAAAGCATTGCACCTGTGATCCACTGATAAGGGTTGCAGTGCTTTACTGGCTCCCATAGAAAAAAATAGAAAACAAATGTGCAATATGCTTCTGGCGTGTGCTAGGTGGGGTTTTCATTAAAGCCTATGGTGGAAAATCGAGCTTAAAGTAGTATTAAGGTCTGGGCATTTTTTTACCTTAATTAATTCTCTGCATTAGTGTAAAAACAGCCCAGCAACTTTTTTCTCCCTCAGGCCCCCCTAGCCCCCCCCCCCAACACACTTACCTGTCAGTGACGCTCGTCCTCACCGATGGTCCCGAAGCGTTCCTCAGTACCCCGAACTTCCAGGTTGCGGGGAGGATACTGATGGCAGAGGGGCCATAGGCTCCTTCTGCCATCAATCAAAGAGGGGAGTGACGTGGCCTGCCACAGGGCTGTGTGTGTCTATGGATGCACACAGCCACTGCGGGCATGACCGCGCAGGGTGTCTCCATTAGAATGATGGTGGCACCTGTGCAGGGGGCAGGGGGAATAGCGCTGCGGGGACCCACTAGAAAACAAGGAATGTAACCTCCCTGTCGGTATGATTTAAGTCAGGAATTTTGTACCAAAAGCGGTACAATTTTTTGCATGGAAATTTGTTGTTTACATTGTAGGCCTGTAGACATCCCAGGTATGATAAAGTTTAAAAAACGAAATTAAAAAATTATAATATAATTAAAAAAAATGGTCCAGTAAATGGGAATTCTGGGGGCGCAGCCTGATCCGTACCACAGTCAATAGAGTACCAAGTTCGCACATCACTGAGCTCGGTCGCAGAATCGTCGCTGTTTTAGGTCAAAAGCGGTTTTAGACCAGGTAGAAAACAGCGATAGTAAATTAGAACTACTTGCAGAATTGAGTGATAGCGATTCGTTGGGAAATTCCTCAACAGACACTGAAAGTGAGGACAGCGACGATTCTGCGACCGAGCTCAGTGATGTGCGAACTTGGTACCCTATTTACTGTGGTACGGATCAGGCAACGCCCCCAGAATTCCCATTTACTGGACCATTTTTTAAATTATTTTATTATAATTTTTTATAATTATTTATTATATTATAATTTCTTAAAATTGTGAAAAAGTGTCAGGCAGGGCACTGGACAAAGCTCTAGGGACAAAATTGAAGTGAAATAGTTTGATACAGAAGTGTAATCATAGCAGATTACATTGTATTGTGTGTATTCTATGTATATTACAACTTTTCACTTTTGAATTTCCCGCCTGCTGTGAAGCCCGAAAACGAAACTAAAAGTCAGATGCCGGCTTTTAGTTTCATTTTCGGGCCGCGTACAGCAGAGGACGCCGCGGGCTCGCAGGGACAAGGCGAGTCTCACTTTTCTCTGCAGCCCCGAGTCTGGCTCGGGGTTACCGCTCCTAGCATTGAAAATTCACCACGAGCCAGACTCGGGATTACCGCCAGGGAGGTTAAACAGTTTTAAAGAAAAGCAGCAACAGTCTACAGCAAAGGAGGGTCCACTTAAAGGAAATTTTTTTAAAAAATTGAGTCTTAAATATCTTAAACTGATTAAGGGGCTGGAGGATCAAAGTTATGAGGCAAGGTTACTAAATGTAAACCTGTTCACGATAGAAGTGAGGAGATTCAGAGGAGTCTTGATTTTGATGTACAAAATATTTAGTGGTGATGGCAACATCAGCAATAAACCGTTTACGGTAAACTCCATAACAAAGGCTAGAGGCCACCACCTAAATCTGGTGGAGACAAGATTTAACCACAAGGGGTGCAGGGGCTTTTTTTTGAGTTAGAGCGGTTAAAGTCTGGAACTCGCTGCCACAAGCAGTCGTCGTCAGCAGAGAGTATTGAATCATTCAAAAAGCATTTAGATACCTTCCTCAGAGACCACAGAGACCATAACAACAGACGATACAGGGACTTGTGTACACACACACACACACACGCGTGTACAATCACATAAGACACTCAAAGGTTGAACTTGATGGACCTGTGTCTTTATTCAACCTCAAATACTATGTAATATTTTTATTCCATTTTAAATGGACAAATAAAACAGTATTTTACGAGGAGAAGGCACTGTTTTCATTTTTTTGCCTGCTCCACATATGACAGCAGCATTTTAAATCTAGAAGATCTGTTGTCCACACACCATTCTGCTTCAGAATGTCATCTTTATTTGTATTCCTTTAACATGTCATGTGAATGCAACGTTTCGGAGCCTCACAGCACCCCTTCGTCAGGCAGTGTGTTGACACTTTGCATGACAAAGGGGTCTTGTGAGGCTCAGAAACATTGCATCCACATGTCATGTTAAAGGAATATGAATAAAGATGACATTCCAAAGCAGAATTGTTTGCGGGCAGCATTAGTGATGGGCCAAACTGGTCCGAGTTCGGTTTGAAACTTTCAAAAACAATTGTCCCCTTTAAGAGGGCTTATATGCAAGTTATTGGCCATAAAAGGTGTATGGGGATCTGGGGTACTGCCCTGGGGGACAGGAATCAATGGAAAAAAAAACTTTTCAAAAAATAGAGTTTTTTAAAGGAGCAGTAGTTTTAACATCACTTAAAGGGTAACAATAAAAATGAAAAATCCCTTTAAATATCGTGCCTGGGGGGTCCCCTTAAACTGCCTGTAAAGTGGCAAATCTGTACGATGAATATATTCTGCTGAAGCAAAACTGAAATTTTTAAACAAAAAAATTACTTTTTTTAAAAATTCTTAAAGCATGCAGTTCCCCCTCCCAAACAATACCAGACCCTTTAGGTCTGGTATGAATGTTAGGAGGGACCACATTTTTTAAAAAAAGCATGGGGTTCTCCCCAAAAATAATATCAGGCCCTTTTAAGGTTTGGTAGGAATATTTAGGAGGGACCCTGTGTAAAAAAAGCAAAACAATTGTGTGGGGTAAAGTCATACCAGGCCCTTAAGGTCTGGTAGGAATATTAAGGAGGAACCCCAACCCCAAAAATGTTTTTAAAAACCCGTGAGGTCCCCCCTAAATTTCCATACCAGCCCCTTGATCCGAGCATAGGCCGGGCAGGGCCGGAAAGGGGTGGGACGAGCAAGCAGCCCCTCCTCCCTCCCATACCAGGCCACATGCCCTCGGCACTGGGAGGGTGCTTTTCCAGGGTCGCCCCTGGAAAAGCACCTTGTCCCCATGCTGATGGGGACAAGGGTCTCTACCCCACAAGCCCTGGGGCGTTGGTTGTGGGGGTGCGGGCAGGGGGCTTATTAATAAAGGGGCACCCAGATGCTGCCCCCCTTGTCAGTGAGTAAGGGGTACTTGTACCCCTACCCATTCACTAAAGGGTTAAATAAAATTGTAAATAAAAAGTCCAGACTTTTGAAAACATCCTTTATTTGAAAAAAAAATAAAAGACATGTTTTTGACAAGTCTTTTATTAAAAAAAGAAATTGATCCACCGATCTCTAATCCGGGGTCAATCACGACGTACAGTGTTGTCCAAAAGGATGACAATGCGACAAAATAAAAAATAAAACAATAAAAAATTATTTTTAAAAACCCAGACGACCGCCATCCCATTCACTCGCAACGAACACCCGCAGCATAATGGCATTTTGACAGATGTCGGTAACATATAAACATTTGGGTGGAGCTAGCAGTGACCTCTAGCACCGCCCAACTGTTTACAGTTGTAACAGGATGAGCCATGATTGGGCAGAGTCATCATGACTTTGCCCAATCATGGCTCTCACTGTTCTTTGTGTCCTGTTTGGGCAAAGTCTTGCCCCGACCTGTGGCCAGGTGCACGGCTTTAACCAATCAGGGCTCACAAGGCACAGCGCCTTGTGCGGGGTGCTCGACATGAAACAGCCCGCCAAACACCCTGACAGTTCGTGTGTTCGCCGAGCAAAAGAACTGCCGATGTTCGAGTCAAACTCATGTTCGGCTCCAACTTCGAGCCCAACCCTAGACAGCATATCTTCTAGATTGTATACTGTGGCGCCATCCACCAGGTTTTCCAGCACTGGTTGGATTCTGGGGTATAACGGTACGGTGTGTGAAGGGGATATCACAAAGCAGCATTGAAAGGGGCACTCTGATGGGAACAATTCCTTGTTAGCTGTCCCCATTAGTGTGCACCCTTACATTAGCTGCTGCGATCAGATTATTTTTGTATTTAATGTAAAGGGGCACTCTGATGGGGACATCTAATATAAGGGGGCACTCAAAATGGGGCATCTAGTGTAAGGGGAACTCAAGGTCTCTAACATCCACCAGCCCTGCGATGTAATCATGGAGGAGTGGAAGAGGACTCCAGTGGCAACCTGTGAAACTCTAGTGAACTCCATGCCCAAGAGGATTAAGGCAGTGCTGGAAAATAATGGTGGCCACACAGAATATTGACACTTCGGGCCCAATTTGGACATTTTCACTTAGGGGTGTACTCACTTTTGCAGCCAGCGGTTTAGACATTAATGGCTGTGTGTTGAGTTATTTTGAGAGGACAGCAAATGTACACTGATATACAAGCTGTACACTCACTATTTTACATTGTAGCAAAGTGTCATTTCTTCTGTGTCGTCACATGAAATTATATAATAAAATATTTACAAAAATGTGAGGGGTGTACTCACTTCTGTGAGATACTGTATATATCAACAGGTGAGCCACCCACACGTCATATGTAAAAGAATCCAACTGCACCAATTGTTTTGAGCAGGCTCCAAACCATAGCCAATACTTAAAATGAACATTTAGAAGGTCGTAGAGCACATGATGCAATTACAACTGGTTTATTCCAGTATGAAGATACAATGTATATAAAGACAGAAGCACTCACAGAAAAAAAACATTGTTATGCGATATGTAAAAATTGTATGTTCTGTATAATGTATGTACCTAAAAATACATGGTACTGTTTTGTTCAGCTCTTGAAAGAAAAGAAAATGCCCAGTACTTCCATATATAGAGGAGTCTGTGACTTCATGTGGCATAACTGGGCCAGTCATCAAATACCATCACTGTCACATGGGGAAAGTCTATAGCTTTTTGTAAGCTTTGACTGGAGTGACTTGTAGCTTACATAGGAAGGCTCCTTCTGCTCCCTGAAGCTAAAATGAGCATCTGAGGAACTAAGAAAAAGTGAATATGTGTTACTGGGGAGAGGAGGCCTAAAGTATACCTTGAATTGCCCTTCGTTGGCAAAGTAAACATTCACTTTAGGTGCAGGTTAATAAAAAATTGTATTAGCTATATGCAGTATTTTCGGGGATTATACATTTTGTTTAATTGCATTAAAATAAATTGAATGCATTTTCTTTTCATTCTTTACCCTGGATGTCCTTTTTGCCATGGGGATCTGTACCCACATACAACCTCTATGTATACAGAGCAAAATAGTACGGTAGTTGGAATCATCCAAACTCGATTGTAAGTACAGAGAACAGCTTGCAACAGAAACCTGACAAAGAAGCATACAAAAATGTTTGTATTCTAGCCTATGTTTTCTACGAAAATGGAAGCATTTGATTAAGCGAGTATTATTATATTTTGGATATACTTCTCTTTAGGGTCAGAGAAGTACATTCATTATGTACTTCTGTGACCCAAAGTCAGCAGATAGTGAGCTAATGTCCATAATCTGCTGACAGCGGAAAGCCGTGCAGCACCCGGGAAGGATTCCAACAATATAGGTGCCTATGTGATAGCTGGCTCAGCTTCTCTAGAGCCAGAGCCAGCCGTGTACACCCCCTCCACTGTCTGTAGCTCCAGTAAGTGTTGGAGGAGCAGAGGGGGGGAGGGGGAATCTCTGTGGGGAGCAGGGATTTCCAGTCACTTTCCTTCCAGTAGGAAAAGGGACCATGAGTTTGGCAATTGGCAGTTATGTGATCGCATGGCTCTCAATGTACAGTATAAACAGCGTGTGGCGGCAGCAGTGTCCCACACTGGCTTTAACCGCTTGAAGACCAGGTGTTTAGACCTGCTTCCTGGCCAGGCCATTTTTCAGTGTTCAGCGCTGCAGTACTTTGACTGACATTTATTCCGTCATGCAACGCTGTACTGAAACAAATTTTATACCATTTTTTGGGGACAGATAGAGCTTTCTTTTGGTGGTATTTAATCACCACTGCGGGTTTTATTTTTTACTTTATTCAGGAGAAATTACTGAAAAGTTTGAAAAGAAAAGTTTTTTTTTACATTATGTTATAAAACAACTAATATTACCCACTTTTTTGGTAAAATATAAAAGACGGGGTCACGTCGGGTAAATAGACACCAAACATGTCAAGCTTAAAAATGGCGCGCACTCGCAGAATCGCAAAAAACTAGCATACCCAAAATTGGCCATAGGCGACACTTTAAAAGCTTTTACCGCTCATCAGTTTAGTGTTATCAGTGATTGATGGCCCTAGAACTATTGCTCTCATTCCGACGTTCGCGGCGATATGTAACATGTGCGGCGTAATGGGCACAATCGTCGTTTTCGCAGGTATGCGCACCTGACACATGTTTACATGCGTGTATGTAGGAATGGGGACTTTAAAAAAAAAAATAATAATTCTTTTTTGTGTAACTTTAAAAAAATTTGGGGGGAAACTTTACATTTTTTTACTATTTTTTTCCCCACTTAACTTTTATTGCTATCACGGAGGAGGCTGAGAAACCCCCTTATGTGATAGCAAAAGAGGTGACAGGTCCTCTTTATGGAGACATCAGGGATCTCCAAGACCCCTAATGGCACCTAGGACCCCCCTGAAGAAGCTGATGAAGCAGAGATCTGCTTCATCAGCTTCTCTCCAGCATCTGAAGCTGGAGAGTGACACGAGAATGAGGAAGTGATGTCATATACACCACTTCCGCATTCTGACAGCGGAGAGGGGACCGGAGGGAGCTTGTGTACCGAGCTCCCTCTGATCCCCTGTGACAGAGGCACTATGCTGGTCCCGGGCTCACAGAGCCACGGAGGGGGCGCACATCTCGGGGCCTCATGCAAGCGATCCGCCGGCTCTATAGCCGGCGGATCGCTTGTATATTAACGGGCATCGCTGCCTCTTTTCAAATAGCGGGGATTTCCCGCGCACCGCGCGGCGCGCCCGGATGTAACAGGACGCGTATACACGCCAAGTTACATCTAAGAAGCTCCCGGTCAGCCGTGTAAACACCGCGGCTGGCCGGGAGGTAGTTAAGCTGCAGGGAAAATATATTTTACACTCCCTGCATTTTTTCATTCGGTAAAAGTATTGGAAACTGTGTCTTTGTTCAACCTATGTAAAAAAAATCTATGATTTTATTATTTAGTTTTTTAACATGCAATTATGAACTAATGCTTAATATACATATGTTTATATTACCTGATATCACTCTCTCTGACACGCTTTTCATCCAAATCTTCAATAAACTTTTCCCCTTTCATCCAGTAAATTAAAGGGCTTACATCACCGCTATAGCCAAAGAAAGCTTTGCAGGTTAAATTAGCCGAGCTGCCTGTTGGAGAACAGAGAAGGATAACAAAATGTATAAAATTCTTCCTTTTTGTAATGTTTTAGAATCCTAGAAAGCAAGCATTGATCACGGTAATGAATTAGATAAATGGACAGTAGCACTTTCCAAGTTGTTGTCTTTACCCTTTATTTGAGCTTTCAACTACTTCCAGCATGAGTGTAAATGAAAGATTAAAGACTTGATTCTACCTACAATAGATAACGTTTGTTTACATCCCTGTTGCCATTTTTTGTACTGAATAATACATTTCTTCTTCCTTTAAATGGTACCAAGAGTGTGTTGGTTTATTCAAGATAACACAATTCTCTGATACTCTATTGTTTTAAAATAGAATTAAAATCAGGAAAACAACAAAACATGGTTTGTCAGGATAGATAGATAGATAGATAGATAGATAGATAGATAGATAGATAGATAGATAGATAGATAGATAGATAGATAGATAGATAGATAGATAGATAGATAGATAGATAGATGGTATGGAGAACACTACATTTCCTTTTTTTCAAATAAAAAATATTCCAAATTGAATTTGTTGAATTGAAATTGTTATATTACAGAAATCCCTGAAGATAGCGCTAGGTCTTATTTTCGGGGTAGGTCTTACTTTCAGGGGGAAAAACGAATTACAGAGTTGTGTTACTTTGTGTATTTCATTTATGCATGAAGCTCAATTAAAAGCTTAGTTAAAACTGAAAAAAGGAACTTCCCTCTCCCTTATCAATGTAGGGTACTTATTAAATATCTCTTTCTTTTAGGTTCTTTAATTAGTAAGTAAAACCAAGGCATCAAATGAATATGGTTTAACCACTTGAAGACTGTGGTGTTTACATCCCCTTCCCATGCAGGCCATTTTTCAGTATTCAGCGCTGCAGTACATTGACTGACATTTAGTCCGTCATGCAGAGCTGTACTGAAATGAATTTTATACCATTTTTTGGGGACACATAGAGCTTTCTTTTGGTGGTATATAATCACCACTGGGGTTTTTATTTTTTACTATATTAAGGAAAAATTACCGGGAAAAAAACAGTACTGTTTCCCCCTATATTAAATTATAAAACATTTATTATTACCCAATTTTTTTGTAAAATATAAGAGACGGGGTCACGTCGGGTAAAAAGACACCAACCATGTCAAGCCTTAAAATTGCGCGCACACGCGAATCCTCAAACTACAATACCCAAAATTGGCCATAGGCGACACTTTAAAAGCTTTTACCGCTCATGAGTTTAGTGTTATCAGTGATTGATGGACCTAAAATGATTGCTCTCATTCCGATGTTCACGACGATATGCAACATGTGTAGCGCAATTGTCGCTTTCGCACGCTGCCACATCAGACGCATATTTACGTTTATGTGCCTAAACGTGCGGGTGGGGGGACTTAAACATTTTGGGTTTTTTTTTTAACTTTATATGTGACTTTTATTTTATTTTTAACTTTTTTTTATTCATTTTTTTTTTTTTTACACTTATTGTTATTGCTATTACATAGGGGGATGACAACCCCCCTATATAATAGCACAGGTACACTGACAGGTCCTCTTTATGGAGACATTAGGGGTCTCTAGGAGCCCTAATGTCACCTGGGGACCCCAAAAGAAGCTGATGAAGCACAGATCTGCTTCATCAGCTTCTCTCTGGCTATAGCAGCAAGATGACTGACAGGTGAATGCGGAAGTGATGTAATACACATCACTTCTGCATTTACACTACGGAGGAAGTTCAGCAAGGAGGAAGATGCTGATCTCCCTCCCATCTTGCTCCTGACGCCCTCCCAGGCCGCATATGGGCTAGCAGATCCCGGGATTGAAGGTGAGGGGTTAGGAGCTGGGGCGGCAGCACTCACGCGGGGTGGTTCACTTCAAAACACCCCATACAACCGATCTGCGGCTATAGAGCCGCTGATCTTTGGTATGAGAAACAGCCGGTAAGGGCTGTGCAGGTTTTTCCTGCCCGTGTGCGTGCTAGGGGGGCAGGAACAAAATGCCGTCTGGAGACGGCAACCCGCCAATGGAAGTCTGTTGAGAAAAAACGGACGGACGGCAGGAGGTTAAACTTGAATGTTTTACAATATGCCTTTTATACATCACAGGATATTAACTAATCTATATCACTCTTGTTTTCTTGTTTCTCACTAAACCCAGCACAACTAACGGCAATGCAATCTGTAGAATTTACTATGAAAAGAAGAATGTCATTTTACAATGTCACAAACATCCTCTTTAAATCAGTATTAATATCTGGTAGAAAACAATATCATGTGAGATTGGTAGCATGGAATTATGAAAGACTAAACTTGTAAACAAATCTACTTTTATTTTATGAAGACATGGTTCACCAAAGACAGCTGATTTTTAAATCAATGGGCATAGGCTTAGAAAAGCATACTAAAATGTACATTTTGTACATGAAAGCAGACGTTAAACCCAAATCGTTGTATATTTTATGAAAGCAGACTCTGTAGATTAATTGCAGGTATTTAGTTATTGCAGGTCTTTATATAGTGCCATCAATTTATGCAGCACTTAACATTGCACATTCACAATGGCCCCTGCCCGCAAGAAGCTTACAATATAAGGTTCCTATCTCCAGTGGCGTAACCAGAGTTCTGGGCGCCCGGGGCAGAATTTTTTTTCGCCCCTCACCCCCCACAAGCGCCAACATTCATTCATAATTGAGGATACAGTATACATACCAGGTCCTCAATTATGTACAAACACAAAGACACCGGCCGCTCACAGCGCTCGTCCCGCAGCGCTCGACCGGCTGTCATTTTCTCTCTGATTCCTTTCATCCCCGCTTGGCACTGCTCTGTGTCCCAGCGGGGATGAAAGGAATCACGGCCGCACCGGCAAAACGGCAGGAAAATGTCACTTTCGGCATTTAGCCGAAAGTGCCATTTTCGCCCGGCGCCCCCCTTCACTTTTCGCCCGGGGCCCGCGCCCCTGCTGCACCCCCGGTTGTTACGCCACTGCCTATGTCACATACATACATTAAGCAATTTGTACCGGAGTCAATTAACCTACCAGCATGTCTTTGGAGTATGGAAGAAAACCCACACAAGTGCAGAGAGAACATGCAAACTCCATGCAGGTAGTGACCTGGCTGGGATTCAAACCAAAGCAAGACAGAAGTGCTAAGCACTAAACCACTGTGCTTCCCAGGTAAAATTTTGGTAGATTACATTTTTTATGTCACACAATATTTGCAGGAGTGTTAATCAAATCTATATTTCCAGTAACAAAAATACATTCAAAACTATTTTAGTGCACATAAAGAATCCACAGAATATAATCACCATTTCTTTTGGTAAAAATATAGAATATGAGGTTGCCAAATAAGTCAAGCCCCAAAATTGCATGTGCCCAAAAAACTACAGTGCAAAATTGTACATAGGTGATGTTTTAAAGCCTTTTACAGCTCATTAGTTTAAAGTTTACCATGAATGATGGCCCTAAGATTTTTGCTTTCACTCTGGCAACTGCAGTAATACAGAATATGCAATTGTAATTTTCTTATGTGTTTGCATTTGTATGTACATGTATGTGGATGCGGCAAGCTTTTTAAAAATGTTTGTTTTTTTAAACTTTTTTATCTTACTGTAACTTTATTGTCGTCACAAGTGGGCTGACAAGCTTTCTATGTCATAGCATAGTGCAGGTTGCAGATTCTTTTAAAAAAATCTATTAGACCCCAGATCTAATTTCTGCACTTTTGTGAAGCTTTGTCCCTTATCAGAGCAACCGGGGACTGATAATACTGACTGGTCGGAGCTGAGCACTCCTGGAATTACACTACCCACCTTTCACCTTTGATCTTCCACCTTTCTCCATCCTGACTAGAGTTGGGCTCATTTTTCGAGTCGAACGTAAGTTCGACTTCGAACATCGCTAGTTTGTGTGTTCGCTGATGACTTTGCCGATAGCTCACTGCTAAGTCCCAGCAGCACTCTATATAAGGCTGCTTACACCACAGCCCTATGTAGTGTGTTGCAGTAATTAAAAGAGCGAGTTTACTACTATCATTGTTCTATTATAGCAGTCGATTATTGCAGTCTATTGCAATAAACATCATGTCAGAAAGGCCGACAAGGAGAGGCAGACGCTCTCATGCAGCTATAAGAGGGCAAGCAGCCTCTGTGTCCACAGGCCAAAGTCATTGTCGTGGACATGGTGCATCACCTGGACAACAAACTGGCACTCATGTTCCACCAGCCGCACGTTGGCTCCAGTGACTGCCAGGTTTGCTCCAGTGACTTGGACAGAGGAGATGATGAGGTCACTGACTCTACTTGGGTGCCTGATCAAAGAGAGGAGGAAAGTGAGGAAGAGGCACAACCCCAACAAGGCAGGATGTCCTCCAGGGCCAGCCGTAAGAGCAGCCACCATATTGCATAAGACGGCAGAGCTGCACTGGTGCTGGGCGCTGTTGTCTCCAGCACACTTCCAGGAACTCAGCTGTGTGGGAGTTTTTTGGCACATGTGGAGTAGACCGAAGCATTGCTATTTGCAATCTGTGTCTCATGTGGATCAACCATGGCAAAAACATCAACCGCATGGGTACCACGTGTTTGAAGACAAATCTGACCACCTGGCAAGAGCATCAGAAAAGGGTCCACACTTCTCCTCACTCCCCATCTGTCATCTCTACCCCCACTATATGTCATGCCATGTAAACAGCCTCCACTGAGAGGGATGATGGTATAGCAATGGGTGTCACAGGTCCTTCTGCAAAATGTGCCAGCAGCCCACCAGCTGTAGATTTGGTCGGTCAATTTCGCTGCCCAAGGCAAAACTCTGCGCCAGATCATTGTACAAGGAACTGTGACGCGTTGTGAAGGCACCACCAACACTAAAGGCCCAATTTTAAAGCACCTGTTGTTACTGTCATCCAACATCTGCAAAACAGGCACCCGAATATATCAAAAAAATCTCTGGCCTTGTTCCGAGTGTCCTAAAATGTGGCCTCTTCATACAG